TCCCTGTGGGCCTGTGGCCACCTGCTGGGCTGCATGGCAGGCAGGGGACAGCAGGTCTTGAGCTGGGCACCATGCTGGTGTGCTGAGGGGACAAGGGCAGGGGGACCACAGGCAGAGCTTGCACAGAGGCAGAAGCCCAGGGTCCAGCAGAGGAGAACCAGAGTGAGCAGCCAGAGATGCAGTGAGGGCCAGGCAGGCGCCATCAGCTGAGCAGTGAGACTTGGCATGGGTCCCAGGGGAGTGGGGTAGGAGGAGCTCTAGCCAGCACTTCTCTGAGGAAGGAGAAGCCGCTGTGGCCTTGGACTGACATGGAGGCAAAGGGGGCTTCAATTTGAAAAGCTTTTCCATGTTTAGAGAGATGAATGTGTTTTGGGGGTGGAGTGAGGGGAATGGAGAAGGTCCAGTAGAGAATGTCAGTGGAAAAGGCTCACTCAGGCGCAGGGGTTGGGAAGGAACCATGTCAGAACTCTGGACTCTGCTCTGCCTGTGGTCTCAGCAGACTGGGGGCAAGGGGACACTCTGGGAGTCAGGCGGACCTCTGTGGCCTGCTCATCAGGGACCAGGACCCATGTGCCCTGTCTGTGGCCATCACACTCTCAGGGCCATCAGGAGGCTGGATGTGGGGTCCTCTGTGGTCCTATTTACTCAGCACTGATGATTTCTTCAGAGCCACACTGCGGTGCTGAGCACGTTCTGGTCAGGCCGTCTTGGGCATCACCTGCCATCCTCTCAACAGCTCTGTGGGATGGGATCCTCCTCCACACCTGATGCACCAACCACACAGTGGAAAGTGACAAAGTGACAAAGCTAGTGCCTTGCCCCAGGTTTGTCTGACCCCAGAACCTGTGTTCTTTCCACTAGACCAAGAGCCCCAGCCTCAGGCGTCTGCCAGCTGATTGTTGAAGGGACACCATGATCATGCACATACGCTAATGCCTTAACATGCCACAGGAGGCACCACGACAGCTGGAGGAGGTCTGAACTAGGTTTCAATGTAGAGGGAGGGACCCCTTAAGTAAGGTCCCATCCTCCAAGCCGTACGTCTACAGTTCCACCATCCCAGCATATCCTCGGTTCTTCTCTGCCAAGGGCCTCCAGTAACCCAGCCTTTTTGCAAGCGCACCCCACCCCGGGCCCTGGCCCCACCTCAGTTTCTTACACTGATGGCCAGGTTGCTATGTGGGCTGCACTTCATAGCACACGCTTCTGTTCATCTCTGGGGTAAGCAGTGTTACCGTTCGCATTGTACCAATGAGGAATGTAAGAGCCAGTGAGGCGAGTCGACTTCCCGGGCATTGCCTTTGATGCCTGTGAAAATGGATACCCTATACACCAGTGCAGGTGGTATGAACCACTTCGAAGCCACATGACCATTAGATCTTCATCCTCCAAGATAATGTCCTCAAACAAGGGTACAGGACTTATTTCTATCCTTGGCAACTTCGTGTCACACTTTGGATACCTTTATCTGTGCATGTGAAGAGCAGCTGTTTGCAAGACTGGACATTTCTGGACATGGGAGCTCTTTGGTATGCATTGTAAACAGGGTCGCAGTGTGCCGGGGCTGGGTGGGTTTCAGGGTGAATAGAGTACACCTACTTTTGTGAATGGCTTCACCCAAGGCCTAGCCCTGCCTTGCTTCAGAGAAAGCTTTTCATTTCCAGAGCTGTGCTCTCCCTGTCTTATCCCATTCAGAGCCTTTTTGTGGACAAGTGGGTGAAATTTCTTCCAGTTGACATTTGCCTCCCATTCTGTCTCCTCATATTGCTGTGATAAGTCCCAACAGAGAGGCCACCACAGTCCCAAAGGCAATATTGGCAAGGAGGGGATAGATTTCACCATGGCCCAGTTTCTCCTGAACTGGGAGCTCACTGGGAGGTTTGCCCTCAAAACGCAGAAGCCCTTGTCCTGGGACCTGAAACCAAAGGAGGAGAAACTAATGAGGAGGGGACACAGTGAGGCTGGCCATGGGGAGAGAGGCAAATGTGGCTGTGTCTTCCTGCGAATTACCATCCTGCAAAGCCAGTGTCAGCGTCTCTGTTGTGCCTCTGTAGAGGGCAGGGCATGGCAGGTCAGCACTCCAGCTTCGTGAGGCTCGGCCACATGACTCAGCAGGCCACTTAGCCTCTGCCCAACCTGTCCCTGGCACCTCTTTTCACATAGATCAGTAAGCCTTACAGAGTTACAGCTTAGGACAGCCCTGCCTTTACTGACTCTGGGGCTCCCTCTGAGCCACTCACCATGACACACAAGTCCCCTTAGTGCCTGCTGACCTCCACGATGCAGCTATGAACCAGGCTCACCAGGGCCCCATGAGGGCAGGGCAGAGTCCTACTTCAGGGGAGTGCAGCAGAGGCTGTGATGGAAGTCGTGCTCTGGGGTGTCAGACTCTAGAGGGTCAGCACGGTCAGGAGGAGCAGACGACACAGTAAGAGGCTGGTATGAGGGGATAGCAGACCCCAGGGAGACTGGCAGTGCCACTGAAGGTGCCCACTGCCCTACAGATTTAACCCTGCCTGGGGAAGGGAGAGCACAGCCTTCCAAGGATGGAGAGCCAGCGAGCAGAATAGGAGGGAGGGGGGCTTCTGTGATGGAGGCGGAAAGCCAAGATCTGCCCTGTGACTTAAAGGTGTTCATAAGCAGGTGTCAGAACACAACTGAAGCTGTACGTGCAGTCCCAGGGAGCGCTTGCCTGAGATGAAATGCCACGAGGCCAGCTGTCCTCCAAGGAAGAAGCAACAACTAGACACACCCATGTCACAGTTCTTAAATATAAATGTGGAGCCGTTCTTAAGTACCTGGAGAGGAATCGGGGGTTGCCCCAGACACCGCAGCTGTGTTCTTGCCCCAGCTGCCTATGCGACAGCTGACGTAGGCCAGCGAAGTGGGTCTCCAGAGCCGGGCAGAGAACTGCACCCAAGGGGCTCGTCTTCACTGCATATGCAAGAACAAGAGGTCAATACAGATAAAAGACCCCCCCATGCCCTGTCCTCTTCAAGAAATAAGAGGATCCAAAGACTTGGCACATGCAGCGTAGACGTGCATCAGAATTGTGACCTCAAGGGCAAGGACAGGATGGAATTCAAGGACCCAGACCAGGACTGGGCCACCCATGGCCTCCCATGGCAGGAATGGGAAGGCACTCTCACCTTTAACATCCTTTACCTCGGCGTGCAAGTGTGTAAAATTGAGTGGGTTGCGCCTGGCCAGCATGGCAGCCACAGGTGTCTGCCCCCACGCCACACTCATCCCTCCCCATCTTTAATTTAGAGACTGCTCATTTTGTTCATCCCCTGGGGATGAGTCTTGCTGGCCTTAGCTGAACATGGGACACTCACTGCCCCTGGTAGCAATGGTGTTAGGCATGGGTATGTGACCTGGTCCTAGACAGTGAGTGGAAGAGAAACCTGGAGTGGGGTCTGAGGGGAGGATTGTCCCACCTGGTCAGATGAGACTGCGAGAGGCCTGTTCCTCCCTGCTGCCTTTGACCTCTGCTGCAAAGTGGCCTGAGGATGGCACGGACGAGAAGGGAAGGCCAGGCCCAGATGGCATTGCAGTACAGAGTCAGCAGTACAGAATTGTCCACCCCCAAGCTTCCGGAGCCAGACAGTTAAATACGGGGTCCTGTTCCCAAGCTGTCGAGCATCCTGTGCTGGTGGTTTCTAGCTGAGGAACCAGGTTCAAGTTACTGTTGGACGATAACAGCGCCAGAGACCCTGGTGGGACAGCGACTGGCCTGCACGTCTCCCCCATGTGCCTGGAGCCCAGCTGTGGCATGTGTGACAGTGATCCTTTCTATTGCTAAGAAACTTGAGGAACGGCTTTCTACCTTTTTACAGCTCCTTTTGGTGCCCTCAGCCCTAAGTGGTGTTGAATTCGGAAAGGCTGTCAAGTGTTACAGTGGGTCCATCTACAGCTGGGAAGGGTCCTGGCCTAAAACTCCCTTAAGAAAACAAATTGGCAGCAACAGTACAATTAAAGCCATGTAAATAAGTGTGTCCCGCTCCTCCACTGTCCAGCTGCGTGGCCTTACTTCTCTGAGCCTCAGCTTCTCATTTGTGGGAATAGCATGGTGAAAGATAGTATCTGTTGCTAGTGCCGTGAGGAGCAGCACTGAGCAAGTGCAGCAGCCTGAGGACAGCACCTGGCCAGCATGGAGTGCGCAAATGTGCCGCTGTGTGTGTCAGTGTGCGAGTGTGCAAGATTGAGTGTGTGTGGAAGGAGACCAACCAATCGGAAATTACGCCCAGGAGGCTGGGCCACTGAATGACTTTAGTGTCATCTATATTTGCTCTTTTTTTCCCCACAATTTAGGAAAATGAACTTATTCACTTTTGTGAGTCCTAAAACTACTTTGAAAAGGAAAGGAAAAAAATAGTAAATTGCCCCTAAAATATTACTGTGGTTACCTCTAAGAAGTGAGAAGAAGGATATTTTTCATTTCTTTAGACATTTCTATAGATTTCATCTTCCTTCTTGCACACATATTAGTTTTAAATCAGCAAAAAAATAAGTTACATGGTTACAGCCATGGGTAAACCACAGGCACAGGAAAGCAGCTGACCTGGGTGCAGCAGGAATGGCTACCCTCCGTGCAGCAAGGCAGGTTGTCCCAGGCATAGCGGGATGGCTGTCCTGGAGATGTCCTGCACCATCCTCCTGGGGGCCCTCCAGTGGGAGTCGCCTCATGGACTTTCCTGCCTCCTGGAGGTGCTCAGGCCCCAGCAAAGGAGCCCAGTGTGGAGCCCCAGCCCCACAGCCCGTTTCAGTGTCTGCTGTGTTGTGAACCTAAGCCACTGACCACAGGGCTTGACCTGCGGCTGTCCTCTCATTTCTAGAATAGGAAAGCACAGTGCTTCTCTCTGAGGGTTAAAAGGATGCTGGTGGGTGTCAGGGGCTTAGCCTGGTGCCTGGCAGGTAGGTGGAGTGAATGTGAATTGTTTCTCTCCCCTGCCTGCTGGCACCTGAGCCCCAGGCCTGTCTGCTTTTGTCTTCTGCAGGCCCCGCAGGGTGGAGCCCGTCTGCTCCGGGCTGCAGGCCCAGATCCTCCAGTGCTACCGAGATCGCCTGCATGAGGTGCTTCTGTGCTCAGACCTGGTCAAGGCATACCAGCGCTGCGTGAGTGCCGCCCACAAGGTAAGGCCTCATCTGCCTCCTGGGTTTCCAGGGGGCTGTGGGAGGTGGAGGAGGTACCTCTATCTAGCATTGGAGATCTCTCCCTGCCTTTTCCTGCTAGAGCCAGATGCTCTACCTGGAGGTCTCTGCATTTGCCAAGGGAGGTATTCTTGGGTCTTCGCTTTCCTCAGTCACCTCCCGGTGCACACCAGCCTGCTTCCAGGAGTGCCTTGCACATCTGGCCCCGGGAGATGATCCCTGTGGTGTTTGCCCTGTTAGGCTGGACCTTCTTAGCCCTCAGCATTTAGGGGTGGGAGCATGGCAGAGGCCTGAGTGCTGAGTGGGGGTCCCAGCAAGGATAGGCCATCTGGAAGTGGAGTGGGAGCAGGTGCGGCCATCAGGAGCTGCCTGCAGCCACCACCCTGCCACTGATCTCAAGGGGCATGCTGGCTCGGTCTTCCCGGTGTGTGGTCCCAGGTCTCACGTGCTCTCTGGTCACCCCCTACTCCAGTGGGCCTGCAGTGCGCTCCCAGCCAGCTTCTACTGTCTTCCTCCCCCACCCCCAGCTGCTCCTCTCTATCCTAGATAAATCCTTCCCCTTTCCAGGTTCCACAGCGTCAGGCTGTTTCCCAGTTACACCTCACCCTTGCCCTACCCCAACAGGACGGCTTCCACTTTGGGGAGCGTCACTCACTCTCAGGGCACCTGGCTTAGGCTCCCTGAGGGGTGCGGCCTGTCTGTGAAAATGTATGGGAGAAGCAGTAGGATGAGGTCTTTCTTCCCACAGAAAAGCCTCTTTGGCCTGAGTAGGAAACAGGCTGCTTTAGGTACTTGAGGTAGAAAAGGCTGAGGCCAGACACCCTCTGCTCTCCAGCCATGTCTGAGGGGGAATCTCTCCCACGGAACTCAGCGGGGTCCTGCAGCCCTGGGCCTGTGAGAGCTTCCTTGGGCCAGGTCCCACTGACACCCATTTGCCAAGCTGATTGTTCCACCCTGGGCTGGTCACAGCCCCATCCAGCACTGCCTGACCATGGCCAGAGCACAGCCCAGAGGTAGCTCCATACAGGCTGAGTGGATGCAGGGCCTCTGTCAGCCTTCCAAGAGAGGGAAGCCCTGGGTAGGACAGGCAGCCTCCTCCTCTGTCTCAGACTGTGGAAGGCTGCTTGCTCTGCTTCCACGTGGGCAGGAGGCGCGGGGGCACTGGGTAGGCTGGGCCGGACCAGGGCCCTTCACACCGACAAGATACTTAGCTCCCTACCCACTAACCCCCAGATCCTTCCCCACACCCTGTCAAGGGCAGCTCCGAGTCCAGTTAATCACACACCTAACTCTACTGAGGGATCTGCCGCAGCCTCATGGCTTCTTTGCAGGGCCCATCCTTCAGCGGCTAGCCCTAGACTCCATCCTCTCTCCACCTCTGTGGTAGTTTTCAGCCCCTTACTCAACACCCCCAAGAGTATTTCTTTAACAAACACACCTCACCAACATATCTTCTTTGCAACAAGGCAAAAATGTGATTACCAAGGAAGACAGATTACATTAAACTCCAGTGTGTTGCCTGAGAGAGGCTCTGGGACACTGCCAGGCCTGGCTCCCTCCTTCCCAGCCCTACCACTGACATGACTAGCAAAATCCGGAGACTGAGCGACGGCAGCACCAGAGGCCTGTCGGGCTCCCTTGTGCTGCCTTGGCAGCGTGTGTGCCTTTGGGGACAGCATGTTCAACCTGAATCCCTCAGAGCCCCGGCACCCAGGCACTCAGGTGGCACCCTGTATGTGAGATGTGGCATGTGCTGGAGAAACTCTCACCACCCTTCTCCAGGCTCCACCTCAGAAAGCTGCTGGCAGAGCCAGAGAGAGGGGAGTGAAGGGTCCCTAAGAGGAATTTGCTTCTGGGAGGGGCCGAGTGGCAGGGGACAGAGGCCTACATGGTCAAGGACCTAGGGTGGGGCAGCACTGCTTCTCCCCTCAGGATCTAGCGTCTGCCCTGGGGCTCCTTAGGCAGCTAGGTGATGCCTAGGCCCAGAGCCTGGCGCCTGCCCATGTGTGAATGTACAGGGCATCTCAAATGAGGGCAGGGGCTTCGGGCTCTCCATAGCAGGGCCCTGACTGTGCAGACCCCGGCGTCCCAGCAGACTCCCGCTGAGCTGTGAAAAATCTGAGAACAGAGGGGATGCCTTGGTGAGGCAGAGCAGAGTTGTATACTGTTCTATACCCAAGGTGCTCGTCAGAAACACGGTATGGGGGCAGGGCTCCTGCCTTCTGAGCCAGGAGAGTTGAGGAATGGGAGCATGTGCTGGTGTCGTTATCATGTGGAGTGAGGGCCTGTCTCCAGCTGCTGGGGACTGTGCTGGGCTCTGGGGCACAGAGGTGAAGAGACTCAGTGCTGGGTCTCAAGGTGAGGAGGGAGACTGACTCACAGCTGCTCCCCAGGAAGCGGTTGCTGTCCCAGGGCAGTCTGCATGGAGCCTTGAGGGCATGGGCAGAGTGGGCCGTGACTGAACTCTGACCTGTTCTCTTTGTAGGGCTGAGGAGCAGACATCATTTCCTGTCCTGGCAGTGACTTGGAGCCCTGAAGAAGGGACCAATCATGGGACCACAGCCCACAGAGCCCTAGGCCACAACCACCGTGCCCTGCCACGTCCTACTGGGCCCTGAGCGGGGCTGCCATGTGTTTAGGAAATGAAGTATACGCTACAGTCTGAAAACAAATAAAGTAGACGCCTTTGTTTTCCGTTGTTGACTCACTGGCAGCCAGTCACTGCTGCCCACTCTGCATCCAGCCCTCTGCTGGACACCAGTGAAGCAGGGCCAAGGAAGATGGGCTGCTCCCCTCGGGGAGTCCCTGGCCTGGCAAGGGGGATGGCCTGGGAACCCCTAGTTACATTGCAGCAGTAGCAGGCCACCGGAGAAGCAGGGATGAGAAGGAAGTGGGAGTAGGCCTTTCTAGGGATGGCACAGAGGTAGAGCAGGCCAGCTTCCTGCTGGGCGAGGGGGCGGTGCTGCCTGCGCCCAGGGCGGAAGCTGACCAGACGAGGGCAGGGCAGGCCAGAGACCCGGCAGAGTGGACCCCAGGTATGAGGGCAGCAGGCAGTGGAGGAGAGCAAAGGTGAGCAAGGCAGGCAGGCGGCATGGCTACAGAGGTGGTAGGGCTGGAGTGCACCAGCCTGAGCTGGCACTGTCTCTGAGTGACGTTGCTCCGGCTCTCAGGTGGAGGGTGGTGCCAGTGAGACAGGACTCAGCGCTAGGGAGCATCACCAGTGTGGAGGGCCCTGCGCAGCTCAAGCCTAGGGAGGGTTAGTGGGGCTGACTGGCAGGACTGAATCTGACTGAGTGAAGATGTAGGTGACTTTTAAGTCTCTGACTTGAGTGTCGAGGGTTCTCCTAAAGTAAGGAATGCAGAGACTGAGGAGAGCAGATGACAAAGTGGGTTTGGGATATGCTCTGCTTGGTTGGTGTCCAAACATTGGCCTTCCAATCCTTGACCTTTGGCCGTGTACCACAGCCAAGGTGCCCTGACCACACTCAGCCTGCTCCATGCCAGCAGAAGAATTTTGGGATGGAGCTTGGGATCCTCTAACTGCTCTGCTAGTGACCTTGGGTTTCCTGATAGAGCCCTTGGGGAGTCCCCATGCCATCTGGAGCTGAAAGCCTGTAGTCTTGACTCGGGCTTGGCAGTGCAAACTTCCCTGCTCATTCCCAGATTCTTACACTCAGAGCTCAAGGGGTGGGTTGGGGCTTGGGCGTGTCCTATTGGCTTAGCATACCACAGCTCGGCAGACAGCTCTAGGAGACAACCTCTCTAGGAGTCCCAGGTCAGCCTGTGGAAACGCACAGGAGGCTTCATGCAGTGTGATCAGCGAGGAGGGGTGGGATGCACAGGGCACCCTGGCCTGAGCCCTTTGGGGAGGGGCCTACTAAGAGGAGGGGTGAGGGGTCACAGGTCCAGCCTATCCATCATGCTGTTGTCACTCCCTCAGAAGCCTTTGGCTTCCCGGGCTTTTTCCAACTTCAGATCTCACAGGAGTAACTTTCAGCTGTCCCTCCCTTCTCTAGGCATCAGTTTAGGTGTTAGGGACGCATCTTGGGGTGGGAAACAGGGACTCCTAGGTACACAGACACCTGTGGGCTGGACGCTGCCTGAGCCTGTGCCAGCTTGCTCTGTCTGGGTAACAAACCACCCCCAGACCTTGTAGCTTAAAACAACGCCTGCTTTATGTGGCTTATGATTCTGCTGGGTGGAGCCTATGGCCCAGGGCCACTTGGGTCAGCCAACAGACCTGTGACTCTAAATGGCCTCCCGTGTCCAGTGGCCAATGGGGCCATGGTTTCCTCTAAATGGCCCCTCCTCCTCCAGGCAAGCTCGGGCTCCAGTCTCAGGCTCCAGTCTCAGGCTCCCGCACAGCCAGAGAGCCAGCCTCCAGGAGCAAACACTTCCTGATCCTCTGCCCACGGCCCCGGGTCCCTTCATTCCCTGCTGGCCAGTCTGGTCAGATTGCAGTTGGCCTGAGAGGAGTGAAAGGACCCCTTTGGCCTCTGAGCTCCACAAAGCCACCTCCTGCTTTGGGAATAGGGCCAGAACGAGGTTGGCGGTGGCAGTGGCAGGTAGCAGCAACAGCCCTTTCCTGCCTGGGCAGGGCCTGTGCAGAGGCGTCCAGGGACAGAGGCTGGCAGAGCAGCCTCATCAGATGGCACTGTTGCCCACCCATCACTGCATGGTTGACTCAGACCAGGAGCTGACAAAGGTTTGAAGGCCAAAGGTGTGGGAGGTGTGGAGCAGGGGCCAGAAAAGCTCTCCAGGGACTCGTACAGAATCCAGGGCTTTTCCTGGAGGTCTCCCACTATCTCTGGTCCCTGGCTGCCTGGGCCTGCCTACCCCTCTCCCACCTCCCCATAGTGTCCTTAGCCCTGCCTAGGCTTCCCACACCCCCAAATCCACACATCTGTCCCCAGATCTTGCTGGATTTTCATAAACTTCCACTTGGTCCTGAAAATAAGACTCACACCTGACCCCTGGCCCGTCTGTCCACTTCTCACCTCCATGAATGGCTGCAGAGCTCATGGCCCTTGCCTGAGACTGTAGCCGCCTCCTTCTCCTCCTCCAGGCTCTGTGTGGGAGTTTCTGCTCTCCTTCCACATTACTCAAGGGTTAAGCCCTGTGTGAGCCCTCCTCCTGGGTGCCCACCCAGCCCCAACACAGGCCTCCAACCCAAAGGCAATACAGTGTGTGCACAGCCAGCCAGCTTCTCAAGACCAGCCTGATGTGGGCTCCCCTTGGCCACCCCTGTGGTCCCTGGTATAGGCAGGTAGGGAGTCATCTGGGGACCAGGGACTAGTGAATGAATGAGATATGAAGACCATCACCAGCTTCTTCATCGTCTCCAGGCCTGCCGGCATCTGCCTGGGGTCCGGGCCTTGGCACCTCCCATAATGGATTCAGGCAGGAGGGGAGCCTGGTGCACACAGGAAAATCCACAGGCTCTGAAGACCTGGGGGCCTCAGTTTAAATCCTGACCCTGCCTCCTGTTGGGTGCCGAGAAAGTCGAGCAATTCCCTTAGGCCTGAGCCTCAGTTTTGTCTTTACAGAACAACTAAAGCAGTGTCCATTATTTGTAGGGAACACCTGTGGCCCACTCTGCATCCACCCATCTTCTTTTAGAAATAGCTTTTCAAGTTTTCTGAAGAACCACTCTCCCCAGCTCTATCAATGATTCCTGTTTCCCCCCGCACCCCCACCACCTTCACCTCCACACAGGGAGAAGATTCTAGAGAGCAGAGCCAGCAGAGAGACACAACCAAGGGATGGAGAGACTGTGCCTGGTCATTGAGCACCTGGATCCAGCCAGACCTGAAGTCAACACAAGCTAGCAAGTTTCCCTTTTTGTTTGAACTGGGTTTTTGTCATTTGGAACAGGACTTCTTCATGAGAGAGCATTGTTCTGGGAAGCAAATGATCTGCTGTCAGCGCCTGACTTCCCTTTCCTTTCAGCCAAGTTGAGGTGGCAGGTTTGACTCTTCCCAGTCTGGGGATGGGAGCACACTGACTCTCCCCTCAGGGCAGCTCTAGAAGCTGTCCCAGGCCCAGTTACAGACTCTGCCATAGGGACCACGGGGTGAAACTCAGGAATGGACTTTGTAACTGGGGAGGAGCAGACGTGCTAGTGGCAAAGTCTGAGGCGCTGATGTTCAGGGAGATGGGGGAAGCTTTCTGGGATTTCTTCAACCAGACCAGTTGGAAGTGAGGCACCCATGCACATCTTACCTGGTGACCTATCCATCCTTAGGGGCCCAGCTCTGACTTCCACCCCTCTGTACCCCCACCCATACCTGCACACCTTTAGGTAGAAGCTGGAGGCTCCTGTGAGTGAGTCCCTACAGTCTTCACCTGAGGAGATGGAGGCCAGGCCTGCGGGACTGTACTCCCCAAACTTCAGCACCCCTGAAGACCAGGGCCTGTTCAACCATTTCTATTAGATTATCTCTCCCTCATTGTTTTCTGGGGGCTTTGGGTTGGGGTGAGGGAGTGAGCTCCTGACTGTGCACATGATATTGTGCATTCCTCTCCTTGGCTCTCAGTGTCTGTGCAGGGCGACTGTGCGAATGTGTTTGTGTTGAGTTGATATAAACCGTCCAGGTACACAAGTGTGTGTGTATGGGTCTGTATGCACATGTCCATCCTGCATGCAGATCCGTGTGTGCTCATATGTGAGTGCATGGTGTGCCAGCACACGTGTGCAAGCATGTGAATAGCTGTACGTGTACCTGTCCATCTGCATGTGTTCATGTCTGTGCATGTGTACTTGAGTTTGTGCACCGGCAGCCAGCCATGCCCAGCACCTTCGGTTGGTCACGAGCTCTTCCCAGCCTGGAGATCAGCTCATTTCTCGACTTCCTCAGAGCCAAATCTTTGCCTATCCCCTGCTGGAGACTGTGTGTGTGTCCCCAGAGTCATCTGTAACACTGCGTTCGAGTGTGAATGTGTGTGCTCATATGTGACCCTACATCTCAGTACCTCTGGCTGTGTGTGGTAGGTAGGAGGTCAGATCTGAGAGAGCAATGCAGAAGTGAGGGGTGTGTCGAGCAGGGTGTGAACCTGGAGGCGGATGCTGTGGGCTTGTGCCCTGGCTGAGTGACTGTTACTCAGGAGTATTAATACTCAGCCCACCGATTGCAGGGGCATTCCTAGTGATGATACTGTTTTTATCATTCAGGGTCTGACCAGGAAGACAGCACCCTTGCTATTGAGCAGGGGGAATTGAATGCAAGGGATTGGTCACAAAAGAGATGGAGGAGCTGGGAATCCAGATGGGATAGTGTGAGAGATGACTGAGACCAGCACCTGTAGGACCTCCCACCACCTGGGGCTGCAGAGACAGAGGGAAGAGGCAGGATCACCCAGTGGAAGCTGGCACCACCGGGGCCCCGCTCAGGGAAGCTGGGGCTTCTGAGGAGACATAGCAGCTGTGAGAGGCCTGCCTGTGGCAGAAGAGGTGGAAATTCCCTGACTTCATTCTGCTCTTAGCTGTAGTTAGTGCCTCCTGTGGCGGGAAGCTGGAGCCAAGGCAGCCGGGAGCTGCTGCTGGCCACCCTCTGCAGTAGAGTGGGTCTGAGAAAAAGGCCCAAGAAGTGCCTTAGTGGGACTGTGTGGGCTGTGTCAAGTGGGTGTGTGTGCCTGCACGTGTGCCTGTGCTCAGGTGGGCGTGCGAGATGTAGCTGGAATGGCAGGTGTGTGCATGTA